TATGGAATGTTAACCTTTTATAACAGCTTTTAAGCCCAAGGGAATGACGACAGTCTTCCAATTGCAAATAATGAAGAACTATTTCCCCTATAATACACATGTATGCACAACCTATCTAAATAGAAAAGCATCCAAAAAGTTACTGTTGAAATTTTAAAAATATTTTATGTAACAATGTCGATGAACAATAATAGGGACTCTGTTAGGTGGACCTACTCTTTCTGTAACACAAGGACCAGTTTCATTGAATTATGTTTAATAGATCCCCCAAAATAGGCTCAGTAAGAAAACCTCTCTTCAGAATGTGACAGAATTTATACACTTTTCAACCAATTGTTTTAGATCATGGACCTCCAGCCCCTTTGTTTGCTGAAATATTAAGAGATCAAAACCTCAGAAAACCTCAGATTGAATTTGGTTTTATTCCACTTTTCTTTAGAGCTTTGATCTCCCCCTTGGAATTTATCAATAGTTTCATTCTCTTTCATTTTCTTTAGACTTTAGAAACTAAGTGGTGACATCAGGAAAATGTCATCTGGGTAAGCTCACAGCCTTCCTTTGAAGCAGCACATGTTCCCTGGGGCTATAGGAAAAGGCAAGCTAGCAGATATACCAGGATGTCTGTGGATAACTCATTCAAAGGATAAAAGAGACACATTCGATGCATTCCTCTTATAAAACAACAATTGAAATGAATGCATAGATTTTTTTCACCTTTAGTATTTTCTCATGAGAAGACATCAAGATTTTCTTCTGCCATTGTAACATGTTAAACTAAATAACGCTTGTATTATAGTGTGCTGATGTCAAAGGAAACACAAATGATATTTTAGGTATAGACTTTTTTTAACCTGAAAAGTGATCTGAGAAATTAGAACAAGTGATAAAGATATATTATAGGCATCTAATAAGACTGACCCTTTGAAAAAGTCATCTTTAAAGTTTTACAAAGCACCTGGATTTTAGAGAAACTTACTGAAACCATCATAATGGAACATCCCAGGGGTTTGCAGTACTTAGGTAAAGTAAAAAACTACAAAGGTAATTCTTTCCCCTCTGTAACTCAGCATGCTACAATCCTTTTCTATATGGGTATCTTTGTAACTCACATGAGCAGAACATTGTAGTAGAACTTCTTTGATAAAGTCATTGTTTATGAATAAGATGTAAAGGAAGTAGTATGGAGGTGGAGAATATAGTCTTAATTTTTTGAAAATAGTGCTGTTTTGGGAAAATATGAGCATTCTAGAGAATTTACCATTGCACAATAAATAGAAATATAATTGCTTGACTCTTCATTACATGGATTTTTATGTTCAGCTAAAAACAATTTGAAAAATGTAATAAAATTACATGAAACTTTTACTTGGAACTCAGTTGGGTTTTTTTCCCCCCAGTTAATTTAAGAATCTTTTTGTAGAAAATTTTATGATGAAAATTAAAATAAATCCTATTAATTTCTAACTAAAGATACACATATAAAAGTTAAAAAATAAATTAGCCATGTAGAGTAATAACCAGTAGATGAAATGTATCCCATTTTCAAATGTTATTATATAATAACCTCATGACCTTTATTGTGGTATGAGTTGAGTTTGATGTCTGGCTGGAAATTGGCAGCACTAGAATTTTGACAGAAATGTATCCATCCTTTTAAACTATGGAATTCAAAATACACTTTTTGTCTAAGTTGTTTAATGCTCATATGTGAAGTTCACTTGCAAATCTAAGATTTTAATTGGTTGTTGCTTTTATTGGGTAGATTTATGTAAGCATAATTCTACTAAAGTAGATACCACTATTAAGAAAAGTAATGATATATTTTTCCACCCTAGAAAATACATTTTAAATCATTTTAATCCACTACAAACATTTTGATAGTTTTTAGAGACCCCTCATAAAGCATTTTTTTAAAAAAGCAATTGGGCAGTGTTTGAACATAGGTAATAATTCATGCTAATTATATTGCTAAACATAAGGTCTTAGGCCTAATAATATATCATAATTCATACCATATGGTCTAATAGTAATTAAAATACATTAAATATATAGCAAATATACATAATTGTCAAAATATTGCTTATGTGGAATAACATTCAGTGCTTTATTATCCATAATAGTACCTTTGTTTATTTTCTTGACAATGTTGTAATCATTAAAGAATGATTCTGAGTGTGCCTTTAATACACACACAGACTTGTATTTTATCTCATACTGCCATGGCTATTGATGCTTTTGAGTCTTTGCTGATTTTTCTGTCATGTACATAGAACGGGTACAACCAGAGTTCTAAAGTAGTGATTAACACGCACTGAAGTCTTCCTCCATTGAGGAGAAAACAAATACCTACACACAGAAGACCTTACTGAATTAGGAGATCGTGATTTAGAAAATTTTCAAGGAGTTTGCCCTTTAGCTCCAGGAGGTCAACAAGTGTTAGAGGAGGGAAGTGATTACTGGACAGAGTAAATATTTACTATTTAATGATGCTCATGGACCTCTAGTAGGCGATTGTCAGGTTCAGCTCATGATGATACAAGTCCCAAACTGTGACCATGTCAATAGGAATAGCAAGTGTCCTTTGGATCCTCAGTGCTTGGGACTCCTTACTTCATGTAAGCTTTCCCTACAATAGTCTGCCATTAGTTTCACACAATGTTGTAGCCCCCCAAAGTCATTTAAATTTTAAGTTTTTAAAGATGTATTTCAATATAATCAGTAGAAAACTCAAGTTAAAATGTCATGGACTTTGGCACCAGAATGATGAGGGTTTACATTCTGATGGCCTACTTCGAGCTCTGAGTTTCAATTTCAGGATGATGATTCACAGGTGATAATAATGACCATGGAGTCATATGTCAGTATTAGAAATAATATAACAGAGTCACGCCAAGTGCTCGGTACACATTTGAAACAAGTTTTCACAAGGTGTAATGCCTGAGAAGTTCACTGTTCATTCTGGTCTAATATACTGTGAGTGTTCGGGAGGGGCATCCAATTCAAACTTGAATTCAACCAAGGTTATTACGTGCCTACCATGTGCAGTGCATGGCCAAGGAAGCTGTGTATTAAGCAAAGTTGGCTTCTTCTTTTGCTTAGTGGCTGAGGTTAGATCAGATGTCAGGGAAATAGAGGAAGAGGCAGGGTGTGGGGCTTGGTTGTTGGCTGGAGGTTTGGAGAACGCCTCCCTGTGATTGTTGGATGGTGCAGTTATTTGCCAGTTAGCCATGTATTAACTATGTTTTTTATTTTACTGTATTCTGATGCTTTGATATCTGGGCCTTGCTCATCATGGAGATATTGTCCCTTCCAGGGCTAGCCAAATCCTGGAGAGAGTAAACCACTCCAACCAACCCAGAGCCTACACCTCAACCACACCTCTTATTGGCCTGTCCCACTTCAGGCCACACCCCTGCCTAGGACCAGGTACCAAATAGCCAGTTTCAGTCTCTGTACCCCAAGGCCTGCTGAAATTATTCAAAGTCCTCCATTCCATGCCTGCATACTCTGCCTCACATATTCCTCCCCAAGAAACCACAAAAAAACCTTCAAGAGTGAAAGTTCCCTCACTCCCTCTGCCTCCTGACCAATCCCAGTGCTTCTCCCTGTGGCCTTCCCTGAGCTTCGAGTGGGATTTGTATTAACAAACTGTCATCTCCTGACCTGTTTGTCTATTATTACTCCTAAACAATGCACATGTTATTTCTAAAACAGACATATGCCTGCATAATAATTCTATCTAAATACTCATAAAGCTTTATTTGAAAACAAACTGCTAGAACCTGAAGCTTGCAAAAATGCTGTGAGAAAAACATCAGAAGGGCGCTGGATAAATGAGATTATTTAATTACCCCTATGACTCTGACCAGGAATCAGAAGCATTCCTTGTGGAAGATAACAAGAAGATAACAACAACAACAAATGAATAAAACCACAGAAGAACAGAGTCGTACCCTTTTATTGGCACAGTAACTTTTCAAAGGCTGGTATGAATAGAGAGTCCGAGTAGCCAGACACAAGGGTCTGATGCCACCGCTCGGAACTTCCCGACAGCCCGCAGAAGCACATCAACAAACAGGCAGTTGCAGTACAGGAGGGTGAGGATATACAGCAGGTGAGCCATGCAGAGGAGCTCGGAGAGGACAATTGACTTGTGATGCAGCATTGCTGCTGGAACCAGTAAATCTCCACGTGCTTATTTGCACTGTGCAGACCTTTAAATGGGTATGGCCCTTTCATCCCAACAGCTATGAAGTTGAAGCCATACCTGCAGACTGACACAAAATGTCCTGTAACCTATACTGAAGTCAGGAGATGAGATTTAACTAAAGAGCTCACAATCCACATATCCAGAAATACAGGCCACAGGAAGGAACTGCCTCCTAATCAATGAGTGAAATATAAAACATGGGACTTGGTCCATATAGATATGCAGGGAAAAGCTAAAACAACAGCAGAGTCCCCAGATTCTTAGATACTTTAGGTTAAAAAAATGGTATGCAAAAGAAAAAAATCTAGAAATAATTTTTAAAAATCTGTATTTTGAAGAAAGGGAGCACCACCAATTACATAAAGTTATAAAACACAGTAAGAAACATGTAAATCATTTTCAGGTTTGTAATTCCGATAAAACACAAATGCCTACAAAGAAATAAAAACACATGTCCGGTAGAGTATATTGTATTAAAATGATTGGAGTACGAGAAACATGTAGTCAGACTATATAAGAACAAGTGTATAGTGTGCATGGATCCCTCCTCTCCTCCACCCCTCTTTCCTCTCTCACCTCATCCATATCTTTTTATGGCCTTTCACTTGCTACGTGGAGGTAGCATGGCCCTATCACCATGGAGCCTGGAAATCGGAGTGTATCCCCATGGAATGGGTAAGAAAACACACACACACACACACACACACACACACACACACACACAGTCACACACACACATACACGGAATCTCAGGTATTTAACTTCCGTGTTCTGTGCTTTTCTGTGTAAATGCGTGGAGAGAGCACCCAGCATGTATCAGAGGCAGCCTTCTGTGGATGCCGCCTGGAATCACTGGGCAGTTTTATGCTGTGAGCTGGATCACATCACATGGTAGTGTCCCAGAACTGGGAAGGCAGCTTGCTGCAGGGGGCCCCTGCAGGCTTCTTCAGGAGCGTGGGCTTCTTGCATGGAGGTGGGGGAGGCGCTCTGGGCTCAGAGTGCTGCAGAATCTGCTGCCAGTCTTCTCCTTCCTCACAGAGCTTTCGCCTCCAGTCCAGGAGCTCCTGCAGGGCCACACTTTCATTCTCTGAGAGCCTCAGCTGATGGATTACCTGTGGGAGGGAAAAGGGGAAGAGTAACACCAAATATGTATTGAGAATGAACGAGATATATAATAGCAACACCTGGTTGTCACGGGACTGGACCAGGGTCAAAAGAGGCATCATTCATTCCCTATAAAACCCCCAGCACTCAGCAAATGGCATCCAACTGGGTTGGCTGTGAGCTGCTGAATTCAGAAGAATGGGGGGAAATAATCAGTGGAACACTTAGGATAGGTGCACTGGTTGACAAGTGATACAAGAAAGACTTAACTATCTGTTTGCACTCTATTATTACTTACACTAGAGGCCTGGTGCAGACACTCATGCATTGGGGGGCAGGGCAGTGGTTCCTCAGCCCTGTCTGCACCCTCTCACAGTCCCGAACCCCTTGGGGGATGTCACCTGCCGGGTTAGGCGGCTCCCCGCTGTCAGGTGGACAATCCCTGAGGGGTCCTTAACACTGCTGTGGAGGCGACAGAGGCTCCCGCCACCACTGCTGCGCTCGCCAGCTGTGAGCCCTGCTTCTGGCTGAGCAGTGCTCCCCCTGTAGGAGAGCACTGACCACCAGAGGGCAACTCCTGTATTGAGCATCTGCCCTCTGGTGGTCAGTGAGCATCATAGCGACCAGTTGTTCTGTCTTTTGGTTGATTTGCATACTAGCCTTTTATTATATAGGACTAGAGACCCGGTGCACAAAAATTTGTGCACTCGGAGGGGAGGGGGAGTCCCTCAGCCCGGCCTGTGCCCTCTCGCAGTCTGGGACCCCTCAGGGGATGACCACCTGCTGGCTTAGGCCCACTCCCTGGGGGATTGGGCCTAAGATGGCAATCAGACATCCCTCTGGCAGCCCGGCAGCCCTTGGGGAATGTCCACTTGCCAGCGGGGAGCAGGCCTAAAATGCAGTCGGACATCCTTAGCGCTGCTGAGGAGGCAGGAGAGGCTCCCACCACCACCGCTGTACTGGCAGCCATCAGCCTGGCTTGTGGCTGAGCAGAACTCCTCCCATGTGAGAGCACCCTGACCACCAGAGGGCAGCTCCTGCATTGAGCGTCTACCCCCTGGTGGTCAGTGTGTGTCATAGTGACCAGTCATTCCCAGTCCTTCTGCTGCTAGGGTCAGTTTGCATATTACCCTTTTACTATATAGGATAGAGGCCTGGTGCACGGGTGGGGGCCGGCTGGTTTGCCCTGAAGGGTGTCCTGGATCAGGGTGGGGGTCCCGCTTGGGTGCCTGGCCAGCCTGGATGAGGGGCTGATGGCTGTTTGCAGCTGGTCACACCCCCTTCAGGGTGGGGGTCCCCACTGGGGTGCCTGGCCAGTCTGGGTGAGGGGCTGAGGGCCGTTTTCAGGCTGGCGGGTGACTGAAGCTCCCAACCTCTCCTTTTTTTTTATTCTGGGATTTATTTACCTTCTATGGCTGTCACTGGAACTGAGAGCCAGCTTTAGCTCTGAGGCTCGGCTCCAACTCTGAGACCTCGGCTGCTGAAAGCAGGTATCTGGGTTTGTTTGGCTTCTATAATTGAAACACTCTTTCAGCTCCAGCTCTGAGGCCCAGCTGGCTGAAAGCAGGTTTCTGAGATTTGTTTAGCTTCTATAATTGCAACATTGTTTCTTAGAGTGCAGCTCAGAGGCCAGCAGTGGCAGGCGGGGAACCTTGGCTTCCTCCATCACTGGAGCAAGCAAGCCTCCTGTTCGCTTCAGCTGCCTGGCTGCTGGCCGCCATCTTGGTTGGCTGTTAATTTGCATATCTCGCTGATTAGCCAATGGGAAGGGTAGCGAAGTTACGGTTAATTACCATGTTTCTCTATTATTAGATAGGATTCTTATAACACCTTGTACTTTCTCTTCATTTAACTTATTACAATTATAATTCTGTCTGATGTTCTTGGATTTCTCCAGGTTCGCCTCATTCTAGAATCCACTCAGTCTATGCACAGTTATTAGTTGATATCTTTTAAGGTAATGTGACACCTCTTACTCAAGAGGGCCCATTCATTGTCAATGTTAAGAGAGGATCACACTAATGTAGAAACTGGTTCCAAGAGTTAGGTGTGGTGAGGGACAGCAACTAAAATATCAAACAAGCTCAGTGGAGGCAGGTAGTTGTACTTGGGAACATCTGCAACCCCACTGGTGCTTCATGCAGGCGCTGTTTTGTGGCAGTGAATTCAAGCTGTGATATAAACTACCAGCTGTGTGCTCTCTCAGACCTTGAGGCTGCAGAGGTAGGAATTTTAGGGGCCTTTGCAGAAGAGGTTAGGAGGTCATAGAAGCCAGGAGGTCAAACCCATATCAAAATGTGCAATTGTGGCAGCTACTTCCCCTCGTTTTCTTGGGGCATCTGAAGAGAGATGCCCTGGAGGCAGAGCTTGCCCCTGAGCTGGGGCACTTCAGGACAACCATGCTACATGGATTGCCGCGGGCTCCCTCTTCTGCCAGCAGCCAGTAATCCATAACAGCTAGATATTGCAGAAACAGGTTTTTTTGTTTTGTTTTGTTTTTCCTGTCAATTCTAAAGTGAGTATGCTGGTTTAACAGAATGAGACTCTAGTCATAAACAATACATGAGAATGGGAACATTGGGAGCATTTAGAGGAAATGAGATGGCTCATCCCACCTCCAACTGGCTACTTTGTGCCAGTGCCACCTCCATCCTCTTCATCAAGACAAAAGAGGATACAACAAAGCAGGATACAGATGGTTTCCTCTCCTGTGACAACAGGCACTTGAAAGAAGCACAGGCAGTCCTTGTTCCAGGACAATTCTAAAACCAACTCCTCCACCTGGCCGCCCGAGCCTATTGTTTGCCCAGGAGGAAGATTTTAAAGCCCAGAATCAAGTTGATGGGCAGAACATTGAGACACAGTGTTAAAACACAGAAGCCAGGAGGGCAAACCCATATCTAGTGTGCATAACTAGATTTCAGGAGCTGGGCTTTAGCAAAAGGAGTTCCCCCAAATTGACTTTAAAAACAAGCAGAAAAAAAACAAAACAAAAAACTCCTAAGTGTGGAAGACAGGACTGTGATTGTCCAGGTCCTGAAGCATCAATAGAAAGTGAGCTGCTGAAACAGCATGCCCCACTTTAAAGGGTATTTTTTCTCTAGCGTCTAGTACTGCAACAGAATGACTGGGAAAGGAGACATTCTCCTGCTGGGAAGACTCTCATGAAAGCCAGATTGCCTCTGCTGTTAGGGAAGTGAGCCAAGGAAGGGGGCCGGAGGGTGTGCAAAAAACCCATTTATTTAATAACACCTTAAAATGCTAAATATGTGCCAGGTACTTTTCTAAGCACCTTATAAGTGTTAACTCATGCAGTCCTCCTAAGGACTCTACAAAGCATTTTGTGATGAGGAAACTGAGGCACAGAGAGGTTAAGAAATTTTTCCAAAGTCACTTGGAAAATTATGGGACCAGGCAGGCTTGCTCCAGAATCTGCCTTCTTAATGATTACTCTACAGTGATTGTCACTTACTTAACAACTGTTATCCAGCGCACTAAAGACCAGGGTCTCTATATCACCTTCCTTTTCTTTTTCTAAATGGCACTTGAGTAAAATCTTTATGTTTCCTCCATCAATGTATTCTAGTGCCTCTATTTTTTCATTAGTGTATTCTGTGTTGATTACATTTAGCTTCAGTCTCATTCACTGTATATATTCAACGAATGTATATATATATTAGAGGCCCAGTGCATGAATTCATGCAGGGGAGGGGTCCTTCGGCCTGGCCTGCACCCTCTCCAATCTGGGACATCCCTCTCACAATTCGGGACCGCTGATTCCTAACTAACTGTTCGCCTGCCTGCCTGTCTGATAGCCCCTAACCACCTCTGCCTGCAGGCCTCATCACCCCTAACTTCCCTCCCCTGCTGGCCTCATCACCTCTAACCGCCTCTGCCTTGGCCCCCACCACCGTGGCTTTGTCCAGAAGGATGTCTGGAAGATGTCTGTTCTAATTAGCATATTACTCTTTTATTAGTATATATATATACACACACACACACACACACACACACACACACACTTTCCTTATATAATAGCCATCTCTGAAAAATGCTATTACTGGATTAATTTTATGAGAGAATATTTAATTGATGGAAGGGTACCTCTACCATCTCAGTTGATTATTTTCCCCAAATTTCCTTGCAAACCATCTTTTTAAAGTAATAGAACTTCATGTTGATCTACAATATTTAGGAAAAAAACAAGGAACTTCTTCTTCTGCATAGAATATTGTAGGCCATGGCAGGTTATCACCCCCATTGTAAAATGATAAAAAAGGAATGAATTACAAAAATTATGTTTTTAAAATATCACAAAGCTCTAGCAAAACTGTGAACTAGAGAAACCACAGTTCTGGATAGAGAGAATCTTTCTGAGTAAACAATTACTAACTTCATTTTTGTTTCTTTCAGAGACATTTGCCAATTATGTTCTTCTGAGGTCTAGAGAGTCCATTATAGAAGAAAGAGAATATAAACAATATTTTGCAGGTGCATGGAACTAGAAAGACCAATTAAAACTTGAGAATCCTCAAATGCATGGGCATTTTCTCAAAGGGTCATTTGTTAAGTTCTTCAAATGTATGAGTAAGTGGTGCCTTGGGCCAAAAGCTTGTAAGTAGAGTGAAATGTCTTACAATGACAGAAATGCTTTCAGAAGCAGAAATTTAACAGGGAGATGATAGCCTCAAGCACCTGACTAGTCTCATCTTAAAGACTTTTGGGCTTTAAGACTGAGTGGGGCACATGGCTGGAGACTTGGGCTCTCAAATACAGAGCTAGAGCTACTGTAATGTTTCAGTGCTAAGGGACCTGTTAAGTTCTCAGTTAAAGCACAGGAAGGTGCAAGTTGAGGATCAGAGGAGAAAAGAGGTAGACTGGTTCTCCAACACCACTGAATTTGTGATTGGATTGATGTGATTGGATAAAGGCAATCAATTTGTGATTGCCTTTTCTTCCTAACAAAGGATGGTGATAAACTTTTGTGTAGAAAACATCATCTATGGAA